ACACACTCATAGAAACCAACAAATGACTGCTAAAGAAAGCAAAGAACTCATCCACCTGTTGAATAATTTTCAATAATTCAATAAAACACACACACACAAATACAATAAAGCTCAACACAAAGAAAGTAACGAAAAACTTGAAACCCGAAACAGAAAGGACTGGCCCAACGAACTGACAGACCGACATATGGCCAGTGAACAATGTAATGGCAAATTGAAAAAATGAAGAGGGGGAAAACTATCCTAAAGAGAAATAAAAATAATATTACGAATATTGTTGTTGCAAAAAACTACAAAAAGACTGAAATAAAATAAAATATTGAATATGTAAATATTTGCCATATGCATATTATTGTATTTACATATACAGGGTGTTACACAATTAATGGCAAAAAGTAATATATAATTAACGTTCAATAAAGGTCAAAATGTTTTACTTAAGTTACGGAAAGGTGTGGACATGTTTTTTTGTAAATTTTCATTTCAGACTTCGCTACAAAAATTTGGGCCGAATTTCGGAGGAGAATCCTTAGAGGAACGCAATTTGATGCACTCATATTCCTGGACTTTTATACGATCAAAATAAGCTGAATTTACTCTCAACAATAGCATTTTTCATTAAATCTAAAATTAAAAAAAGGGACACCCTTTATTTTCAATCCAAAAAAAAAAAAAAACAGTAAGGAAAGTAGTAAAGTCGGACTGGGCCGACTATATGATACCCTTCACCACGTTGGGTACATATGTTTCTGAAAAGACGTCGCTTTTGAAGGAATTTTGACTTGAAATTGAATGAACTTAAATATGTGATTTTTATATCTATCTGGAACCTATGCTAAATTTCATTTCATTTGGGCAAGTTTAGAGTCGTTTGCGCACAGAGGGACAGATTTGTGTAAAATTTTGGTGCACCATTTACCTAAAATCGGGCGAAACTATGTATGGGAGCTATATCTAAATCTGAATCGATTTTCTCGAAACTTAGCACACATCATTCTAGACATAATTCAGTGGGCTATACCAAATTTCGTGCAAATCGAAAGATATATAGGGACTTTGGTACCCCATTTACCTTAAATCGGACGAAAATATATATGGGAGCTATATCTAAATCTGAACCGATTTTCACGAAACTTAGCACACATCATTCTATACATTATTCAGTAGTCTATACCAAATTTCGTGCAAATCGAAAGATATATAGGGACTTTGGTACACCATTTACCTTAAATCGGTGAAACTATATATGGGAGCTATATCTAAATCTGAACCGATTTTCACGAAACTTAGCACACGTCATTCTTGACTTAATTCAATACGCTATGCCAAAATTCGTGTAAATCAAATGATTTTCAGGGACTTTGGTGCACCATTTACCTAAAATCGGGCGAAACTATATATGGGAGCTATATCTAAATCTGAACCGATTTTCACGAAACTTGTCACACATCATCCTAGACCTAATTATGTAGGCTGTACTAAATTTCGAGCAAATCGAAAGATATTTAGGGACTTTTGTAGCTCATTTACCTTAAATCGGACGAAAATATATATGGGAGCTATATCTAAATCTAAACCGATTTTCACGAAACTTAGCACACATCATTCTAGACCTTATTCAGTAGGCTATACCAAATTTCGTGCAAATCGAAAGATATATAGGGACTGCGGTACACCATTTACCTTAAATTGGGTGAAACTATATATGGGAGCTATATCTAAATCTGAACGAAATTTGGCACACATCATTCTAGACCTAATTAAGTAGGCTGTACTAAATTTCGTGCAAATCGAAAGATATTTAGGGACTTTTGTAGCTCATTTACCTTAAATCGGACGAAAAAATATATGGGAGCTATATCTAAATCTGGACCGATTTTTCCCAATTTCAATAGGGTTCGTCCTTGGGCCAAACAAATGAGCTGTGCCAAATTTCATCCAATTCGGATCATAAATGCGACCTGTACTTTGTTTACAATTTAACATGGACAGACGGACGGACTTGCACAAATCGACTCAGAAAGTGATTCTATGCATATTCTCAAAAGGAACCATGGGTCTATCTCGATTATTTTTGCCTGTTACAAACATATGCACAAAGACATAATATCCTGTACCACAGTGTGGTGAAGGGTATAAAAACTTAGTGAGTGAGTGTGTCTCTGTGCCCTCTACAGATATTTAAATATACATATGCCAGTATTTTATTTTATTTCATTTTTTTATTTTTTGTTAGGTAAAATATGTTTTTGCCCATATTCACATTTCCAGTTGATATTCGCATATATATTTGTATGTATAGGTATTTATATGTATATACATATATTTGTGTTTTTGTTACATAAATTGCTATTTGGCAATTTAATCTGTTTCAATTTACACAGAGCATAGCTGCCAGCGCAAGGAAATAAGAAAATTCAGCCTTAGGCTATGATGATAATAATAATGCAATGACAACAACAGCGGCAACAACAACAAAATGAAAACATCACAAATTTAACTAACAAAATAAACAGAAACACACACACATACAGAGGACACAGTTTTTCGATGGGTGTTTTGGTGTGTTTGTTAGAAATATATTTGCATAAAGATATGTATGTTGTTTGATGTCCGGATATGAGGCCCAGTTTATATTCGTCAGTATATTTAAATACACTAGGTAAGGATATCCTTGAAATTGAGGAATAAATTTAAATTCGTGGAATTTTGGGATGATGGAATTTTTGAAGGAATGAATAAAGGTTAGGGATGAATGTAAAACACACCTTGGGTAATAAAAATGTTTTTTGAATTGACGGACCCAAGCCTTAGCAATTGAATTAAAAAAAAAATTAGGCACTGAAAATTGCTAAAAAAATATGGCAAATTTTTGTGAACATATTTCAAAAATCTCAAATATTTAAAAACAAATTGGAAAAATATTTTAAAAATAATTGCCATAGCAAATTGTCATAAAATGGGTTTTAAACCATTAATGAAAGTAGTAAAGTCTAGCGGGCCGACTATATGATACCCTTCACCACTTTGGGTATATTCAAGCGATGGAATCCTAACAGACGTCGCATTTTTGAAGGACCATTAACATGAAATTAAATATGTTAATCTGCAACCTATACTAAATTATGGTCAGATATAGAGTTGCTTCTTACAATGGGATACATTTATGTAAATAAATTTAAAGCAAAATATCGAAATCTAAATCGATTTCATCGAAACTTGTCACATGTAAAGTTACACTTATATCAGTATGTTTTGTTCATTCGGCCACATTTTGAGTTCTTCATTTATTTATAAATCCGAATTTCGTGCAAATCGAAGGATATGTAGGGACTTTGGTGCATCATTTACATAAAATCGGACGAAAATATATATGGGGGCTATATCTAAATCTGAACCGATTTTCACGAAATTTAACACACATCGTTCTAGACTTATTTCAGTACGCTATGCCAAATTCCGTGCAAATCGAAGGATATATAGGCACCATTTACATAAAATCGGACGAAAATGTATATGGGAGCTATATCAAAATCTGAACCGATTTTCACGAAATTTAACACACATAGTTCTAGACTTAATTCAGTACGCTGTGCCAATTTTCGTGCAAATCGAAGGATATATAGGTACTTTGGTGCACTGTTTATCTAAAATCATACGAAAATATATATGGGAGCTATATCTAAATTTGAACCGATTTTTACGAAATTTATAACACATCGTTCTAGACTTAATTCAGTATTCTGTGCCAAATTTCATGCAAATCGAAAGATAAATAGGGACTTTGGTGCACCACTTACCTTAAATCGGAAAAAATATATATGGGAGCTATATCTAAATCTGAACCGATTTTTCCCAATTTCAATAGGGTTCTTCCTTGGGCCAAATAAATGATCTGTGCCAAATTTCATCCAAGTCGAATCAAAAATGCGATCTGTACTTTGTTTACAATTTAACATGGACAGACGGACGGACGGACATGCATAAATCGCTAAAAAGTGATTCTATGCATATTCTCAAAAGGTATCATGGATCTGTCTCGTTTCCTTTTGCCTTTTACAAACATATGCACAGACATAATACCCTGTACCACAGTGTTGTGAAGGGTATAAAAAGTCAACGCCTGGGTAAATCGCTGAAATGCTATTTAAAAAACTCCATGAGATGACAAAAAAAAATCTAAGAAAAATATTTTTAAAAACTCTACACCTATTTCCTATTTCTTAAAAAAAAATAACTTAAAAAAATATCTTAAAAAAATCGAAATTTTTGAAAATATTTTTTTAAAATGTTAAAAAGTATTTTATATTTTTTTTAATTGGAAAATTGGTATCACGTAGTTTATAATTTTTTTTTGTGGTGCTTAATCCTAAAAAACATCTCACCCTTTCGGTACACCCTTTTGTCACATGCAAAATCACATCCAACATATGATCCCCGGTATTTTATTGTAACGAGCAAATCGTTTACTCAATTTCTTCTCTGTGTGTTGCATCGATATTGGCTGTTGATATTTATGTTATTTAACAAACATGTCTGTCAGGCAGCCAGTCCATCAGTCAGTGAGTCACTCAATACAACAAATCAACTCTATTAAATATCATATTTGCTGGTTTGTTGTATTCAAAGTAATTTGATTACAATTTACAAAATTGGCTTTATTTGCATTTGCAATTTCCTACCCCGCATTTCGTATACAAATGGCATTTCCCTCCACCAACTGCCATTCGCACACACACACAACCGTACTATGGACCAAAAATATATAACAAAATAACAAAAATAGAAGAAGGAAAAAAGGCCAAGTAAAAATAATACCAAACATTTCAGCAAAGCAACCAAACCAATTTCAATTGAACTTTTCAACAGATTTCACAGATTTCAGCAACAGTAGCAGCAGTCACAACAACAACTGCTAATGTTGTCTGCTTCTCCTGTTTCCCTGGTGCTCCCTGTGTTTTCCATAGTTATATTTATTTACATGTTCTGTGACAACTTACCCTCCTGCCAGCTTCATTATTGTGCAAATTCATTAAACTTCTTGCTTTGGCTGCAATCGAATTTTTCCATTTGCCAGAACCGCCACCACCGCCGCCGCCATTACTGCCACCTGATGTGCCAATTGGAGCGCTATTGCTGTTGGCATATGGACCACCTTCACCAACATCGGCCAGCATACCGTTGACAGCACGTTGATTTTTACGTTTCCTTTTACGTTTGCCACCGTTGTTGTTGTTGTTATTGTTGCTGTTGAAACTTGAACTGCCACTACCACCATTTGTGGCAACATCCATATTAAAAACTTTCGAATTTAAAATTTCTCGATTGATTTTTTCCTGAAATGGGAAGAATAAAAAAACACACACACACAAATGAGTATTGTATTACAAACAGACACACACATACTGACATATACATATGCAGTTGTATTTAAATACTTATTCAGTAATAAATAGGGGATAGAGAATGAAATAAATTTGTTTCAGATACCACAGGTTTTGTTTTGTGGGTAGTGGCGGAATTTTAATCGCATTTTTAGTTGAAGAAATATTTGTTAAACCCACGATATAAAAATATTTTTTTTAAATCCAAAAATTGTTGAAAAACTAAAAAACCAGAATTTTTGAAAAAATATTTGTTAACCAGTAAGAAAAGGAGTAAAGTCGGCCGACTATATGTTACCCTTAATATAACAAAGGGACAAATTTATGTATGTAAATCGATTTATAGCACACTCGATAGACGTTGTTCGGTATGCCGTACTGTTCAAAATTGAATCTCAATCAGGCACCCGTTCGAAGTATATATAGAAGCTATGTCTGCATCTGCACCAATTTCAACAAAACGCAATAACGTCATTCTAGTATCAATTTGATACGTTGTGCAAACTTTTGTGTCAATCGGACATACCTTAGGAGTTTGGTGCCCCATTTACCTGAAATCGGACGAAATTATATGTGGGAGCTATATCTTAATCTGAACCGAACTTTCGCGAAACTATCATCTTTTGGTGCACCATCTGAATCCTGAACTTTTTACCGAAACTATATATGCACAAATCATTCTAGACAGTCTGGGATGAATTCAGTACGCTGTGCCAAATTTCGGTATATATATAGGGACTTTGGTGCACAATTTACATAAAATCGGAGGAAAATATATATGGGAGCTATATCTAAATCTGAACCGATTTTTACGAAAATTAGCACACGTCATTCTAGTCTTAAATTAGTACGCTGTGCCAAATTTCGTGTAAATCGGAAATTCTATAGGGACTTTGGTGCACCATTCACCTTAAATCGGACGAAAATGTAGATGGGAGCTATATCCAAACCGGAACCGATTTTCAAGAAACTTAGCACACATCATTCTATCCTTAATCCAGTACGCTGTGCCAAATTTCGTGCAAATCGGAAATTTTATAAGGACTTTGGTGCACCATTCACCTTAAATCGGACGAAAATATATATGGGAGCTATATCCAAACCTGAACCGATTTTCACGAAACTTTGCACACATCAGTCTAGGCTGAATTCAGTACGCTGTGCCAAATTTCGTGCAAATCGGAAGATTTATAGGGATTTTGGTGCTCCAGTTACATAAAATCGGACGAAAATATATATGGGAGCTATATCCAAACCTGAACTGATTTTCACGAAACTTAGCACAAATCATTCTAGGTTAAATTCAGTATGCTGTGCCAAATTTCGGGCGAATCGGAAGATTTATATGGACTTTGGTGCACCATTTACATAAAATCCAACGAAAATATATATGGGAGCTACATCTAAAACTGAATCGATTTTCACGAAATTTAACACACATCATTCTAGACTTAAATCATTAGGCTGTGCCAAACTTCATGCAAATCGAAATATATGTAGGAACAATTTACATGAAATCGGACGAAAATATATTTGGGAGTTATATCTAAATCTGAACCGATTTGCACGAAACTTAGACCACATCATTCTAGGCTTAATTCAGTACACTGTGTCAAATTTCGTGCAAATCGGTGGATATATAGGTTCTTTGGTGCGACATTTACCTTAAATCGGACGAAAATATATATGGGATCTATATCTAAATCTGAACCGATTTTTCCCAATTTCAATAAGGTTTGTGCTTGGGCCAAATAAGTGACATATGCCAAATTTTATCCAATTCGGATCATAAATGCTACCTGTACTTTGTTTACAATTTAACATGGACAGACAGGCGGACAGTCGTACTCCGTCCGCCCGTACGAATGTCCGCCTGTCTGTCCATATTAAATTGTAAACAAAGTATGCATAAATCGACTCAGAAAGCGATTCTATGCATATTCTCAAAATGAACCATTAGTCTATCTTGTTTCCTTTTGCCTGTTACATAGATATGTAAAAAAACAGAACACCCTGTATCACAGTGTGGTGAAGGGTATAAAAATATTTCCTCGCCTTGGAAAATTATTGAAAAAATAATTTTAAAAAATCTACACTTTGGAAAATTGTTGAAAAAATATTTTTACAAAATCTTCATTTTGGATAATGTAATCGACCGATTTTATTTAATAACTTCATTATATATTTTTTTTTTCTTTTAATTAATTTAAAATTAAAAACTTTCTGACAAGAATCCCGATTAACAAAATCTCTCTTTGAAGTTCACGTCCCTTCGATTTTGAATTTGAAAACATTGCTTTCGTTACATGGATTTGTAACAAACAGCAACAACACAAATTAACAAAGTTTTCAACACTTATGAAAGAGATTAACAAAGTTTATAACATACTTTTTTGGTGGTTTGTGCCACAGACCTTGAGCGGTCACACACAAGCATTATATATCGCTCACCGGACTAGCCTTCAAAGTTTAACGTCAAACATTCACGTTAACGAGAATCTAAAAAAAATGAAATGCCCCACTCTAGATGTCCACAAGCCAAAACTACAGAAAAGTTATGAAATTATTAAATTTTCATTCTTTGTCTCTGTTCCTGGGGAGAAAGGAAAAAAGCAACAACAAAACCAACAACAATTCACATGGATCTTGTCCATCAGGAGTTTTTTATTCGCGCGAATCGCAAAAGGAGAAAAATTTTGAACTTTTACAATTACAACGTGTAAGAGTGGCGTTGACAATACATTCACAGGTGTACAAGTGTCGAAAACGTGAACTAGTAACAAACAAATAAAAAAATCAGTGGACCACCAAATGTGGCAGACTGACAAGCAGACGATGGCAAAGAGTGTTGCAGAATGTGAGGGAGGAGGACAGTGACATTCCTGTGAACATTTATTGTTGTTTTTCGTTTTTCTTTTTTTCTGTGAAGTACTGAAATGTTGAACAAAACTTTATTCAAAAGCTCAAAATTAAAAATCGTTTAAAATTGTTTCACTCCCCCCGTTGGAAATATGACAAAACTTTTTTTGCTAACTTTATTATTGAGCCGTGGCGAAAAAAAAAATAAAACATTGTTGGCAAGGTAACATTGACGATTTGGTATTGTTCAACCAACCGTTTTTTTTTTATAAAAAGGCTGGGAAAATTCTTTATAACAATATTGTTTCGACATGGACATAGATAGATTTTCAATTATTTCCACAAAATGCTGACAAAATTGATTGAATGCAAATGGCACCCTTTGCAGGTCATTTTTTAATCAAAATCAATCAATGAATTTTTAATAAATAAGCAGACATTGCAAATAAAATATAAAAAAAATTATTTTTTAAATTTTTTTTCCAACAGGTAGATTTAAAGAAAAATCAATATTTTTCTAAGGTGTGAATATAAAACCAGTAAGGAAAGTAGTAATGTCGGACGAAGGCGACTATATGATACTCTTCACCACTATGGTAATATTCAACAGATGAATCCTAATAGGCGTCGCATTTTTAAAGGACCAGTAAAATTAAATTGGATCCATAAACATGTCATTCTGCAATTCATTACGCTGTACCAAATTTCGTGCAAACCGAAAGATATTAAGGGACTTTGGTACAACATTTACATTAAATCGGACGAAAATATATATGCGAGCTATATATAAATCTGAGCCGATTTTCAGGAAACTTAGCACACATCATTCTAGACCTAACTTATTACGCTGTGCCATATTTCGTGTTAATCGAATGATTTTAAGGGACTTTGGTGCACCATTTCTATTAAATCGGACGAACATATATATGAGAGCTATATCCAAATCAGGGCCGATTTCACGAAACTTAACAGACATCATTTTAGACTTAACTCATTACGCTGTGCTAAATTTCGTGCAAATCGAAAGATATATAGGGACTTTGGTGCACCATTTACATTTTATCGGACGAAAATAAGTATGGGAGCTATATCAAAATCTGAACCGATTTTTAGGAAACTTAACACACATCATTCTAGACCTAATTCATTACGCTGTGCCAACTTTCGTGCAAATCGAAAGATATTAAGGGACTTTGGTACAACATTTACATTAAATCGGACGAAAATATATATGGGAGCTATATATAAATCTGAACCGATTTTCTTGAAACTTAACACACATCATTCTAACTCATTACGCTATGCCAAATTTCGAGCTAATCGAAAGATTTTAAGGGACTTTGGTGCATCATTTACCTTAAATCGGATGAAAATATATGTGGGAGCTATATGCTATATATATTATATATATATTAATCTGAACCGATTTTCAGGAAACTTAACACACATCATTAAAGGCCTAATTCATTACGCTGTGCCAAATTTCGTGCAAATCGAAAGATATTTAGGGTCTTTGGTGCACCGTTTACCTCAAATCGGACGAAAATATATAAAGGAGCTATATTTAAATCTGAACCGATTATCAGGAAACTTTGCACACATTATGCTACACTTTATTTAGTGCGCTATGCCAAAATTCGTGCAAATCGAAGGATACATAGGGACATTGCTGCAATATTTAACTAAAATCGGACGAAACTATATATGGGAGCTATAGCTAATTCTGAACCGATTTTCAAGAAACTTAGCACAGGTCATTCTGGACTTAATTCAGTAGGCTATACCAAATTTCGTGCAAATCGAAAGATATATGGGGACTTTGGTACACCCTTTACATTAAATCGGACGAAAATATATATGGGAGCTATATCTAAATCTGAACCGATTTTTCCCAATTTCAATTGGGTTCGTCCTTGGGCCAAATAAGTGACCTATGCCAAATTTCATCCAAATCGGATCATAAATGCGACCTTTACTTTGCTCACAAAAATACATGGACAGACAGACAGACGGACGGACGGACATTCATAAATCGACTTAAAAAGTGATTCTATGCATATTCTCAAAAGGAACCATGGGTCTATCTCGTTTCCTTTTGCCTGTTACAAACATATGCACAAAGACATAATAAAAATAACATTTTCCTAAGCCGTGGATTTAAAATGAAATTTTTAACATTTTTCCAAATTCGGATTTTTAAGAAAAATATTTTTTACCAAATTTACAAGAGGGATATAAAAAATATTTTTTCAAGAGAAAGGGATAGGCTTTTAAAAATATTCCTAGGTTCTTTAAAAAATATTTTTCAAAATTTTCCATAGAATGTATTACATAAAAAAATGTTTTCAAATTTTTTCGAAGGCGTATATTTTTTCTATTCTCGCCCATTATTTCCAATATTAAATTTTAATAAAACGTTCTCATCTTTTAATACAAAAAAAAAAAAATCAATTAAAAGTACAGATTTTGTATGTAAATTTAATTTACCTGCAATTCGAGCATTTCCTTTTCCTGTAATTTGGAATTGAGTATTTCCTTTGTAATACGCTCTTGTAATTCTAATAAATCTTCCGGTTTAATTCGAAGACCACCACCATTGCCGACATTTGTGGTTTCTTCTTCGGAAGATGCTGATACATCTTGTTGTTGTTGCTGCTGCTGTTGTTGTCGCGATGATGATGATAGTGGTGACACTGTTGTCGTTGTTGTTGTTGAACGCATTTGTTGTCGTTTTGTCTGTCTTTGATTTTGACTTTGGGAGTTACTTGAATCAACGCCGGCTGCATTGTTACTTGAAGAGGTCATTGAGGATGTACCGGGGCTAATATTCCTTGACGATGAAGACGATGCTGAGGAGGATGGTGGCAATGGTGTCGTGGTAGTGTTAACATCCGTGCCATTTGACTGTTGTGTGGAGCTGCTGCTGCTGCTGTTGACAGTTTTATTGGTATTTTCCAAAGATTGCGAGTCACTTATGGAGGACACAGATGATGCTGATGACGACGAGGATGATGATGCCGAAGACTGAGAACCAGACAATGATTGCGTTGATTCTGTTGCTGTTCTATTACTGCCATTGTTTGTTGTTTGAGCTTTATTATTTTGCCTGGATATCGTTGCCTTGGTATCACTTCTAACTGAAGAGGTTATAGAAACTGAAGCATCATCTGCCAGCATTTGTTGTTGTTGCTGCTGCTGTTGTTTTAGCTGTTGTTGCAAAAGCTGTTGCTGTCTTCGTTGATGCATACGTTGTCCTCGACCACCACCGCCGCCACCTCCACGTTTCTCTGGATTGCCAACACCACGTGTGCCACGTCTGGTTTCCTTTTCTCGTATATCAATAAAGTCGGTGGCAAATCTATGGATAGAAGAAATAAATGCAATCAGTATAAGTCGTTATGAAATGGAGAGATACAAAAAAAAAAAGAAATATATAACAAGAAAATCCCAAACAATGGTGATTATGAAAGAGAGAGAGAGAGATTTGTATAAGCTACAACATAAGTAAAAATAATATTCTTAAACAAAATATTTTCATATGATTTTTTTTCGAAATTTCTTGAAAATCCCAAAACTTGAATTAAAAAAAAATATTTTTTTTTGTATTTCAGAAAATATTTTTTTAAAAATCCTTCCGATGCATAGATTTATTTAAAAATATTTTTTGCAACGTGACAAGTCTTAGATTTGGATTTCTTAGAAAAAAGTTTTGCATCCTGACAAGGTCTAGATTAAAAAAAAACTTTGACTCTTTAGTGTACAATTTACATTAAATCGGACGAAAATTTATATGGGAGCTATATCAAAATCTGAACCGATTTCTCCGAAACGTAACACACATCATTCTAGGCGTTTTTCAGTGCGCTATACCAAATTTCGTGGACATCGAAAGATATATAGGGACTTTGGTACACCATTTACATTAAATCGGACAAAAGTATATATGAGAGCTATATCTATATCTGAACCGATTTTCACGAAACTTAGCACACATTCATTTATTTCGAGCGTATTTTTCTACATCGCATGTTTTTTAAAACAATTTCTAGATTTTCCAAAAATATGGATTATTTGAAAAACGTGTTTCTTCTAGATCCTCCAAAGACATGAATTTTTATTGTACTTTTTTTAAGGCTCTTCAATAGACATGTATTTTTCATATTTTTTGATCCATGTTTTTGAATGCCTTTTTCAAATAATTTTTTTATAACCTTTATTCCAAAATTTCAAGTTTCGAGTAGTCTCAAAGATTAAGAAACTTATTCTAGTGGACGATTCTCAAATGTATTTATTTCACTTACAACTTTCGAACTTATTTGAAATAAAATCCCACATCCTTAAAAGTTAGACCCACCATAATTAACCCCACAAATTTGTATCATCATCCTTTTCCATAAAAATTAACCCACCTTTATTAAAATATATATATTTTTTTGTATAGAAAGAAAAATAATTAAATTCAAAGTTTTGTTATCTCCCTCCAGAAAACAACAACAAGAAAGTGAAACAGCTGGCTGTTTTGACAAACCCACCGGTTAAAGTTATGAATGTAAACAGAGTATCAAATGCCCACCACACACACACACTATATGCCCCCGCGTTTTAACACACAATAAGGCGGTTACATTTCATGTTCACGTCTGCTTTTTTACTACAAATACTCTACATCTCCTGAGGGTGTGTTTAACATTTTACAATTGTTTTAATTTCAATATTTGTGTTGTTACATAAATTAAATAAGCATTTCATCTTCTACCCCCCTCCATGGCTGGCTGACGTCTGAGTGAACTTTAAAAAAAAGTCAAAGTCAAACCATCCCTCAGAAGAAGGCCTTAACAACAATCCTCATGTTCAACAAACCCTAAGCAGCATGGCAAATAGTGGCTGGATGGCTGTGCAACTTGTTTAAGGGTTTTCCTATGCCTGTGGGCGATATGTACATTAGTAATGCTGCTTATTGGTACCCCAACCCTCGCTCTCATTTTAGTTACCATTAAACAAAAAAAGAAAACTTAATTGCATTTGTTGCACTCTGTTATGCTTTCGAGCCAGCCAGTCAGCCAGCCAGACACGTTGAGCACAGCAGTGATTCATTCGTTCATTCAATGAGTTATTCAATGCTGTTGCTGCTGCTCAGTGCACACTCAGTGGTTAATTGCATTGCCCTCCAGCAAATTGCTAGACAAGAGCATAGAAATGCAATCAGTATCAGGGCTGGATCATTTTTAAGGTTTTACAATTAGTTGGTGTCAAGATTTACACTTTCTTTATGTTTATGGTTGGCTAACAAAATGCAACTCCTTGATAATAAAACTGTATGATTATGGTAGGGGTATTATAAATTTGATACCACGGGTTGGGAGAAATGGGGTATTTGCCGCCATAGCTTATGGCTATAACATTTGGCTAAAAGGCGTTAAATTGTAAGGGGAAATATGGCGAGGTAGATTAGCAAAATGGAAAACTTATAGAAATTCACAAGATTTTTTCAAGGCAGACCACTGAAAAGAAGGGCCGAAGTCATTTGGGGGTTATGGGTAGGATATATCAACCATATTTGTAGGAAAGGCATAAAATACCTCGGAAGGCCTTTATTGGGGTATGAGTTCGAAACAAGGCAGCCATCGACCGTTTGGGTTTTCAATGACGAGTAAAGTCCAACGAAGGTTATCCGTGAAAGTAGCACTTCGAAGCAAATAAACGCTGGATTTTTGTTTGACTGAAATCTTTGAAATAAAATCGGGAAATGAACAAGAGAATACGAATCATTGTGTATCATGACAATACAAACTCTGACACTTTTGCTTACACTGGCACCTTTTTAACAGGTCAGAACGGAAAAGTATTGGCCCTTGCGGCGTACAGCCCTAAAAAAGACTGTGGAAATAGGTTGTTTTATCCTCCGTAATAAGATGGGAATTTTAAATGGCATGGAAAATTATTCCCAAGAAAAACGGAAATGAGGAGGTTAATTCGAAGCATGGACTTGTGTTGGAATTAGTCTGTGAAGAAGTTATTTACCCAATAAGGTCACATTTCTTAAAGCTAAATACCTATCAAAATACCTATAAAATAAACCACAATGCAACACAATTAAAATTTCGGAGTTAGTGTCTAAACCAGTGAGGGGAGCAGTATAGTCGGACGGGTCCGACCATTTGATACCCTACACTAGATCCACGGAAATCTAAATGTCTGTGGCACTACATTCTGAGCTATGGTAATATTTCGCGATATTTGGACCCTATTGACCGAATAGACGTCAATAAATATTACTAGTATTCAGTACAGCCCTTCTAATTACGTGCTCAGGTTCTCTTCACCGTTGGTTGTGTTGTGATGTTCGAGTTTCAACTGTGGCCTATAGATGGACTCGAAAAAAACCAAAAATTAACTTTTCGGTCTTCATCCCAATATGATTATCTGTTCATCATCGAAAATTATAGGCGTTGTCCTTGACCATACCTGGATCCTCATGGAAAATGTCAAAGCGATCAGCGCTATATTTTCGCCCTCTAGTGGGGTAATGGGTTACTAAATAATATATGAATACGTAAGCACCTGTAAATATTTAAGTGTAAGTTCCACATCCGAGTACGTACTACCATATACTTGGTATCTGTTTAAAGGTCAACCACTCCTCTTGGATATAATATCAATTTATCGGGTCTATGTCCTTCAGGAGTAAATATATACGCTATAGAACACACATTTTGTAATTTTTCACACAAAAGTCAGGGTCCATTTGATCCGATTAAAATTTACCGATCTTTATCAAAACAGGCATGCTTATTCTTTGGCCCGATCCCCTTCTGCTTGTAAAAATTTGCAATGTTTGTCAATAATTGCGGTCTCTGGAGCGACCAGAAAATCAGAAAAAAATAAAGTTTTTGGTCCATTTCATCCCCTAAATATTAACCAATCTTTACCAAAAACAATAGGGGTCTTCATTGACCAGAACCCATCCTACATGCAAAATTTCATGAATATTGGTCCATAACTGTGGCATGTATCGTGTTTACAAATTATAATGGACAGACGGACGGACGGATGGACACACATGTCTAGATCGACTCAGCTAGTCGAGATATGACGATTGGTATACTTAAAGGTGTGTCTAGGACCAATATTTCGCTACGTTACAAACTATAGGGGCTGTACAAAGCTATAATACCCCGACAACATAGTTGTGTAGGGTATAAAAATGGACCAGTATTGATATTTTCTTGTAGGATGATATGCTACTTGTACCCTTGTATATACCCTAAGTGGTGTAGGGCCGACTTTAGTAATATATTTGAACTATTTTGATATCATTGACAAATTGTACTAAAAATTGGTATTGGGAAGTTAGAGGATAGCTACACAGAATTTATCAAGGATTTTAGCTGTAATTTATCATTTCACTCTTATCATAATAAATGTATTTAATAAAAAAAGTACGACAACAACTGTTCATAAAAATTCAACTCTATTTCAAATAATATCAGATAAGCAACTTGAAGCAATCGTTTTCCTTTATGCTTCTCCACTCACATAAGAAACTACTAACCGACCAGCCAGGCTAATATAGTTTTCTATTCCAGCTCATGAAAAAAATATACAAAAACTTATAAAATACAAAAAAAAAAGATATCAACATCTGCTGTGGCAACATGTGTGTGCGTCTGTGTCTTGTAAATGTAATTACACATACAAATATACACAATGTATTACATTATATTACATTACATTTACATGACATTAGTTGTCTGTCTTCTTTTAAATCTAATAAGGAACAATAGTTGAAATAGTACCACTACATAACACATATCACAAATATTTCAAATATTTACACAAGAAGGACATTACAGGATAACGCGAAAAAAACTGTTTGCTATTTTGCTTATTGTAATGTCTACTCGTTTTTTACACAGCTTCCCCTTTTTTTTGGCTAGTTAACCTCTCCAACCACTTTTTATCATCAACACAATAAGCAACAATTTTTTGCCTTTGGTTACTATTGTTGTGGTTGTTGTTGCAGTTGTTTTTGTGTGTTTTGTTACTGTTCATATCTAAATAACCCTATTTTACGCCTGTGCCTTTTATTTTTTTGTCATGCACTTGATTTTATTTTTCTTCATACAAGTAAATATGTTTTCCCCCTTTTTCGCCCAATGTCGACATGCATGGCTGTGGGGTTTTTGTTCCATTGTTGTCGAAATGGGTTTGAGGGCAAAATGAAACAAAATGGAAATCCACAGATTTCTCCGGCATTATATACATTACAGACATGTGTGTTATATTATGACTTATAAAAACGGATTTAAGAATATTCGTTTTGGCAAGAAGGGAAATTGATAAAGGTCCAAAATATGA